TTTAAATAAGAGCTGTCAAAAATTGTATGCTAATGATAAATGAACTTCTGAAAATCAGTTCTTTAGAAAATAAATTTCATTTGGTTTAAAAAATAACACATTACTCCTAACTTTTTTTCTCATGGCTCTGGAGTAAAACAATGGGGAAAGACTCTGTACTCTCACTTTATAATATGTAAACTAAATATATTTTGTTAGTCTCTAAAAAAATGTATATACCTATATAACGTGACAATTAAAAAACCTTGTTAAACCAACTTAACCCACAATTACCATAAGTGTACATTTTATTACCCACCCATTGACATAACCAACTTCTGCACAAAAACGATCGGCTCCCACACACATAAATTTTGAGTGCAAAAAATTATTATCTGCACCCATCGAAACATATTTGTTTAAGCTCAGCCCCAAAAGACGCTGCCGAAAAAGAAAACACAAGCCAAAAATCGAAGTAAAGCCAAAGACAAAAGAGGCTTTCCCACAAAACAAATTCCCAGGGCCCTATGCCTAAGCATGCATAATTTTAATTTATTTGTAGCAGCAGCAGCAGCAGCACAGACAACTGGCCAACTAATAAAAGTAAAAAGCAAAACCTGAGCAGTCCAAAATGAAGCAAAAGCAGCAAAAGCCAGGCAAAATACTGAGGCTGTGGCCAAGGAATATTTATGGAAATACCTTCGGGGCGGAGCTCCCGAATTGCGAAAACGTTGATCAAATTTTGCCAGATAAGCGACGACGACGACGACGACGACGAAGACGAAGACGAAGACGAGCGTGGATGATGATGGTGATGGTTATGGTTGTGGTCCAAAGCCCGGAGCTTTGCGATGTGAGCGTGACTGAAGCATATTGAAATTGGTCCAAGCTTAAGCAGGTGCAAAAGTCAATTTAACGAAATTAAGTAAATGGCGATGGGGTAATGGAAATCTGAATGGGTGCTTAATAGTTATATCGGTTTTCTAATATATTTTAACTAAATGCAGATTTATACTAAGTGTTTATACTAAGTGTTTCCTGGTCTTAGATTTTTAAATTATTAAAATCTTATGCATTTTTATACCGAAAGCAAGACATATATTTTATTCTTAAGTATAGTTGTTGAATTGATTAACAATTATAATTTTTTTTAATAAATACAAAATAAAGAATGTATAGTACTCTGTGTGATTGCAAACTGGCACACTGTGACTTATATAATACACCGTTCTAGTAACCTGTAGTAAAAGAAAAAAAAACAATAGTATCAACTATTTATATAACCTATATTTATTACTCCAAAAATATTTTAAACATAATTTTTACCATTCAATAATATAAAACAGCTTAAAGACCTAATTGAAGCGGATTTTAATCAAAAGGAGTATCAGTTATTATCAATTTTTGTTTCTGTGCTTGGGTTCTTGGAAATTTGTTTTGCTTGGCAAGCCCAAGACTTCCGTAAGTCCGTGCCTCACGCAGCCATCTCCAGCCCATCAAGCTCATATGCATGTCGAGGTCTCCGAGTCATCAGCCAAAGGAGTAGGAGTTCGCGGGGGCCACGGGCGGATGGGGGAGGGGCCGGAGGAGGAGGAGGCTGCGGCGGCTTCAACTCTGCGGCTGCCTTACAACGTCATCAGTTTTCGAAGGCGTTGCCAAAGAGCAACCGCCGCGGCGACTGTGGGAACTCATGTTGCATGCTGCACACATACAACTCGCCACGAAAGCGGTACACAGTCCGCAGTCCGCAGTCCACAGTCCACAGTCCGCAACTCCCCTCTGAACCGATATCGTGCCTCTGAAATCTGCATTCGGGCCTCGGCCGGGGCCCCAACTCGTTTGCATTTCTTATTTGCGGCGGCAGCGGCCTCAGCCCTCGTCAGATTGGCTGGCGTAATCTGTTTTAACTTGGCTCGAACTTGGGCTGGATGGATGTGGATGTAGATGTGGATGTGGAGGTGCATGCACTCCCCGCTTTTGACGGTAGTCGTGCTTTGGTTATAAAAATTGAAGCCGCCATTAAATTCTGACAGTTGTCAGCTCTCGCGGTTTCGGTTTCGGACTCGCAGTCAACTTAAGTAGTTAGGAGCCCCGATCGGCTGGGCTTAATGGCCGCTGAGCCTGGCCAAATGGCTGATGATCACCCGTCCAGGGATTTGGTTATATGGCTGTGATGGCGAAGGAGCTGTAGAACGTTTCTCCCAGCAATTTGCAACTCCAAATGCCTAACTGGGCATTTAGCCGGTAATAGTGCTGCAGCCTAATGGCCTAATGAAATAACGAATTGAACTTTAATGCCCAGACCAGCTTATCGAAATTGTCTACTTGGCTACAAAACTCTAACATAATTTATATTTGATTGATGATTCTGATCGGGACTATTTTAATGCAATTAATAAATCATCAGTTCAGTTCACGGAGCGATCGACTATACCGATAGCAACAATACAAGTTTAAATTTATGCATACGTGTAGACTCAAACTTGATCAATCTAAATTAGTGGACACATTGCGTTAAAGTAAAGTACAGGCTTTTGGGCATTAAGTCATACTAATTAAGGTGAATTTATTTAAATTCTGATAATGTTGCTGAAAGTCAAATAATGCCAATAAAGGCTAAAAATCAAATTATAACATATTTAATTATCTTGTGTGCTGAAGCAATTATTTATAGTTTTGTTCAACGTGTAGGTATACTAAAAATGTAATTTCATTAATAAAATTTGCTTATTTAAATAACATTAGTGTTTTTAAAACATCGATTTTTGTCTTATCAAAATAAAAAATGAGCTAGTGAATTACTGTTCGAGTTTCCTTCCTTCTTTTTAACTTTACATATTCCTCGGCTGCCATATCTTTTGTTAGCTTTTCAGGTAGCAATCAAAGCTATCAGTCAACCGGCTGCGGCTTGATGAGTTCAAATTGCTACTGCACTCGCCCCGGACACGAACTCATCTTCATTTATCACTTTCAATAATAATCAAAAGCCATCAAAAGCGTTGAATGAAACCGAAAAAAAAGGCGTCAGAGGCCTCTGAGAGGCCCAGACAATAGCTGACAGACTGCAATCAAGCTGGAGCGGACAAAAGATGCTGGCAAAGATTCCCGTCCGCCGGGGTTATTAAAAAAGAATTTGCATAAAAGACAAACCGGGGCACGAGTTCTTCGTTCTCCAAAAGCACAAACCACAAGGATTAAGCAATAAATAACTGAATGCGGAGAACGAAGCGGTTCAGTTTCTATGAAATTATATTCAAATTAGTTTGATGTTGCCGTCTCGGCAGAGGCTCAAAACTGTTGTACAAATGGCATAATTATGGGATAGACACAAAGCACTTTGAGATCACTTCGAGGGCACTTGAAATTATGCTAAAATGCCAAACGGGGAGGAGGTGTGACCGAGAGGGTGCCACTGCCACAGCCACAGGTACGCTCTTTCCCGGTCTGTCGACAGAGGCTTGACTGTGGCACCGCTCATCAATTATCCACGTGCTTACAGAGGCTGGCAATTTGTTAGATGTCTAGGCGGTGGGTTGGCCCAAAGGCGGCGAGGGGGATTCGCTTTTGACACCTCTGACGCGATTATAACACTTTTATGGTTAGTTATTAATGATTTTCATATTCAATAGAAGGCATGGCAAAAAAGGAGGTATAATATAGAGGAGATTTAAGGAGTTATCTTGACCTCAAAAGCTAAACATTAGAATTGTAAGGGAAATAAATACATATTTATTTTAGGCACTCACTATGAGAATTTAAAATATATAGTAAGTGAAAAACTAACTACAAACATTGTATATTTAAAAAGGGTTACCATATTCATTTTATATGCACATGTGCATGTGGCTACTTTAGCAGAATACACCCATCTAAATATATTTTGCCTGTCAAAATCCCATTATACATATTTTCAGTGTAATTTGTTTATTTATCAGAGCATATTACCCTAAAGGCTTTATGGTAATTTCCATAATTCCAACAGCAAATATAATTTAATTGCTACACATGCGATTCCGTTTCCTGTGCTGTGGGGTAATGTAAATTTTCTTGGACCAAGACATTTATCTGGCGAGCAGATATTCAAAACTTGCCCCCACAGAATATTATTCACTCCGGTTTGCTCCCAAACACGTCAAGTGGTGGTGGCCAAAACCAACAAAAATGTTCCTATATCTACGAATATTGCGTGCAGACGAACCGACGATTTTGTGAAAAGCAAGCTGAAAGACACAAAAAAGTAAAGGGAAACAGAAGTCGACGATTGGCTGATGAGAGGGCGCTGCGATGACGTTAATGTTGTGCTGCGCCTGATGATGATGTTTAAGAGACCGGGAATCGGGCCCAAACCAATCCGACGAACGGCTGCGGAGGTGGGTGCGGAAGTGCAGTGCGGCAAACGTGTCTGCTGATGGGGCTAATGATATGAAAATGAGTCCGGGCCCTGATGACACGAAAGTGTGAGCGGGCAGCCATAGCATAAAGCAAACAGCATACAGCATAATCATTTCATTTTATGAATGAAGTTAAGGCCGCATAATAAATCAAAAACACACACGTTGCCAAAACGGAGATGAGAGGTGGATCAAAACGAAGCGTGATCGGGACAGGAAATGGAAATGAGCTTGCATTATCAAAACAGCGAAGGGTGCTCAAAGGATGCGCATCACTTGCGGTTCAAATTCAAAATTTATAAGGACAAAAAAATACATTCAAATATATAATAATATATGAAAAGTTTCCTATTGTTTTAAATTGTTTTTTTTTTTTGGTAAAGTAAGTAAAAAAAAGTATGTTAAAAATGATTAAATGATTTCAAAACATTATCTTAAAAGGTATAAGCAAAAAATAAACAAAAAAATATTAAAACTATTTTATATATAAAAATCCTTTTTTTACCTGCATTCAAAATGATTATATTTTTAAAATATTTTTGCTATTATTAAACTTTTCACTAAAACTTTTCAAGCTCCCCGTTTAAAGCTGTTGCAGCTGCCAAAATAACAATAAAACATCAAACTTACCGTCTGCATTTTGCATGTGGTTGCCGATGTTGCTGTCGTCATCATCATCATCGATGTCGTCAATGGTTGCTGCTGCTCGTGTTGCTGTTGGCGCCTGCGATGTTGCTGATGTTGTCGCTGCTGCAGGGCCCATTGCTGTTGCCGTTGCAGTTTCTGCTCCTGCAGTTGTCGCTGGTGTCGGAGTTGCTGTTGCCATTGTTGCCTCGGGCAGGGCATCATTTTGCTGTAATGCGACTAATGAGGCGGCAAAATTGACGTGTTGCTGCGGCGTGAAGCTAAAGACCGATGTTGCTGTTGCTGATTGAGTTGTTGGCTCGCTTTTAATTGTTGTTGCTGGGAGCTGTTGCTGCTGCTGCTGTTGATGTTGCTGCCAGTACTCGGCGGCAATCAAGTGCTGCAGACTGTGCGTAGGCAAATGCTGGCCAAAAAGATTGCTCAGATGTTGCAGCGGCGAACTGCTGGCCACATGTTGCTGCAGGAGCTGCTGCTGCAGCAACAACTGCTGCTGATGATGATGATGATGTTGCTGCTGCTGCTGTGACGGCTGATGGTGATGATGATGATGGTTGTGGTGCGTATGATGATAGAGCAGTGTGGATGCTGCAACGCTTTCGGTGGCCTCGCCATTGATTTTATATTTCGATGTTGTCGTCGGCGTTGACATTGTTAGTGCTTCCGCTGCGGACAGCTGTCGCTGATTGTTGCTGTTGTCGCTGCTGCTGCTGCTGTTGCTGCTGCTTCTGCTGTTGCTGCTGCAATTGTTGCTAGCCTGATTTGTATTGCAATGGCTTTTGTATTCAAGTAACATGCCGTTGTTGCTAGCAACACGCTGCTGCTGTCGTAGCTGAAGTTGCTGCTGATAATGATAATAGTTTGCTAGCAACAATGGCATAATCAGTGTTTACGGCTAACTGTGCCAACAGCAGCAACAGCATAGAGCACATAGGTAATCACTCCCGGGCGCAGATAGCCGTTGAAAGAGTTCTCCAAAAACACCTCTGGAACCTTGTGATTAGAGGCGATAACCGCAAGTTGGTCAAGTGGACAAAGGCTGGTCTGTAATTAGGCAAAGAAGATTAATTAGCCATAAAGGGTGTGTCGTGGGGGGCGAGGCATGAAAGAGTCATAAATAATATCAAAGCAGATGTCATGGTAATAAATAAATTTTAAAAATATTTTCGAGCCGCAGGAAATTCTAGGGAAGCCAAAAGCCGCAACAATTAGAAATTCAAAGAGCTCAAATCGCATTTTCAGCTTAGAAGACGAGCAGGGAAGAAAATTCATTTATGCAAACTCATCACTCCGCACGCAAAGCGTGATGGACATGTGAACCTGTTTATCTGCAGGTTGAAAGCACCTGACGAGCTTCTTCTTTTCTTGATTTTTCGCTTTTTTTGTCATTTTAATTAGTTCAATTTCGGTTTATGGTATTTTGGTTAAATCTGCTCATTCCCTTGAAATTTCACTCGGGGACAAGAGCAATAACATGACGTAGCCGAAAATTAAAAACCGAAAATGTCAACTCATTCTTAGTTTTGTTTAGCTTATCAGACAACTGCAGGTGCCCAAAACAGTTGACAAATTCTCTCAATGGTAGCAGCCAATCGAGCTGAATATTCATAATCGCCAGGCGAAGAAAATACTTAGATACACTGTACCGAAAAAATAATATTCAACTCAGCAATTAACCTTTGTTTTATGATAAGCGTATTGTTTAATGTGTCACACCCTTAAAAATTTAAAAAAATATGTTTTGTAATAATTGTTTTGTTTAATTGGTTTTTATTTGTGAGTTTTGACTTTGTATATATAAGTTATAATGATAATTATTATTAGTATTATAAAGCAAATGTTAGTTTTAAACGAATAATTAAAATTTACAGCACAATACAATATAAAGTTAAAGCTAGAAAATAAAATAAATATATTTTGACTTTTGACTGAAATTGTAATACCTTCTGCAATTGTATGAAAATACACAAAAAGCCTAAAAGATCAGGTTATATTATGGCTGAGGTTAATTTAAGATATCATTTTATGAGCTGTCGGTTTAGAGAACCCAACTTATAAAGACATTCGTGGATTTAAACTACTCGAACATTTCTCAGTGCATATATTGGTCTTTACAAACTTCAACGTACTATAGACTCCTCACATCAACAACGATACTCGTACAGACTCCGATACCGCCATCGTAATTACAAGTCATCTACCTGATGTTTTTGACCATTTAAGCCACAAGCGCAGAGGCACACAGAGTTGAATAGACCGAACAGTAGCCCAAATGGGTGGTTGGGGGCAATCGCATAAAAATAAAATAATAATCAGACATAAACACCGACAGAAACAAATTTTCATTCATGTATAGACCCTTAACACGCATAATTGCTAATGCCATTTAAATGTGCCTAAAAAAAGAACACTTTGTTAAGCCCGAGTCATGTTCTTTTATTCAAGTAGACAGAATTTTCAGTTCCCGATTCTGATCTAGATCCGAGTGCAACGGAAATGTGGAAAGTGACGCGGCCGATTTCTCTCCTATCTATTGTTAAATATTTACAAACGTTTAACCTTATAAGCGTATTACGAAACTGATTTTGGTTCCAAATGGGAACAAACTTTTGGTCTAGACGGTTAACAGTTAAAGTAGAGTCAGAGAGATCTTTGTCATGTACCTATATATGTGCAATTGTAAATGTAAACATTATTTTTATTACATATTTATATATGATTACTGAGTAATATAACTTATAACCATTGTGAATTTCCCAGTTTAGAAACTATTGCAGGGTCAGGAAGCCAAAACTGTGAATAACTTAAGTTGTATAAAGTCCAACATGATGTAACTTTCATATATTTTACAATTTTTTCTAAACTTAGTAAATTTAGAGTATGTTTGTAGGCGTCGACAAACTTTTCCAAGCTGCCCAAATTTTAAAAACGAAGGTTTGGCAATTTAAAAACTTGCTATGAAATAGTTTTCGATTTTATAAAAATATTTTCTTTTGTTCAATAATGTGATGTAGTATTTAACCTATTCCCTGAATGAAAGCTCTACAGAATTTTAATAAATTTTACATTTATTTCTTTGGCATGATATTATTTAAATGTTTTCTATTTTTTTAACTTAATTAACTTTCAAAAATCTTTAAAAAAAAACTAGCAGGCTAAAAGACCTTTAAAATTAATCATTTTCTTGGTTAGTAAATCAAATATTTACAAATACAAATAATGATCACTTTATAAAAACTCCTTAGTCAGATTTCACTTAAATTGCAATCATGTCATTCGCAAGTAGGTCTCAAATCATGAACTCATGGCAAATATTTTGGTTACACACGATCCATAGTAAAATGTAAATATTGATAGGCTGGGTGGAACAGGTCTGCCCCTATATATGGATAAGAACGGGTGACCTTTGGTCGAGTGTGACAATGCCTTGGCACTCATTATGGCTGGGCCTCCTTCTCTGTTGGAACATTTCACGCGAATATTTATTTTTGCTTGCCTAACTAATCAATTTCAGCGAAAGGCTTAGGGTAGACAGAAATATGTAGATAAATTCCAATAAAAAATTGACAATTAATATAAATATATTTTTAGTTTTTGGACTTAAAATGCTAATAGAAGTTTAGTTGCAAGTCCACAAATATTAACGGAATTTACAAAATTAATTACATTTAATGCATAACCAAATAGAGGAGGTCTCCCATCGATTTCTGTCACCCTTTTAATTTCGAAGGGGGTCTGAATTTTTCATATATATGAATAATGGGGCGCCATTCGTAAAGTGCCAAAGGGAGATTTCCTGCGGCTCAAGTCGACTTAGCTCTGCTCCACAAAAAAACCGGAAAAATTGAAACGCAAAATATTAAATACTAAATGAAACAATTTGTGACTTACCAACTAAGACAAATTAACCCCATTGCAGCTCAATATTAATTAGCAACACTTTACTGATTGCCTTGTCGCCGGAACCCCAAATTCCTAATTCTAAACAAATTATTTGTCTTTCTATCTAGACATCATCATTTCCCGCGCTTGGCACTTGCTTTTGACTCATTTCCATTTCGCGGTATCACCCGGCACTATCTTGATAACCGTCTGTGTTTGTCAACTAGCCAGGTCTTACTGTAATTGACTAATGAATGGCATTCATTGTTCCAGCTTTTTCAACTTGTGACAAATTTTATTTATTATAACTTTAGTTTTGTTCTTGTGTCATGTTCAATTGTTATTGCTTCCGTTTATTGGCAGGCGGGTTCTTGAGAACAGACGCCGATCCAATAGTCATCACGTGGTACTAACTGATCGGTTTATATAAGAAGTAGTTAAGTGGGGAAGCGGAAAAGGTTAATAAAGGGGAAACACAGAACTTTGTCTAAGTCAAGATCTATAAAAGGGGAAATGATTCTTGGAACTGCTTTGGTTAGTTTATATTGTCACATACTAGATAAGAAAGTATAGTAGTTACAGTGTAAATAACAATAAAATAATTTTTAGACAAATATTAAGTACCTGTTTGATTAGAAATACTATTTACCAGACTAAAAGGCTCAAAAGTTGAACTCTTTGATTCTAAAATAAATGAGCCATCATATACGAATGATGAAATGAAAATTCCAACAATAACATAACAATTAAATTTCATGTAATAATTATGCCATACCCAAGTTTTATAAGATCTGAGCATAAAAACTAGTGATTTAAATATTAACATTAATTGCAAAGGCCTTTTGTTTCGAGTAAAATGATTTTTAGATCAAATTTTATTTATTTTATATTCAACTTAAAATTTTTTAATGGCCAATTAACAAGTATAATAGCCCTCAAACCCCTTCAATCGTTCACCCTTAAATTGGCACTTGACGCAGGTACTATCGCACCGGACCTTACCTAACCCAAAACATCGAAACAAAAAATCGAGAACCGGTATGAACCGATTTTAAAGATTGCGAAATGTGAAACGTGTTAAACCAAACAAGCCCCCAATGAACTTTGCTCGGACTAAACATCAGCCCATATTTCAAGATTCTTTTGTTTACCCTGGCGCAAGAACCGCGATTTCCTAGAACTGTGGCACTCACCGACCAGAACCAAATTGAGAGCTCAAGTGAAGTGAGCTGAAGTGGCGAGTGCAATAAACGAAATCAGGTGAATTTAATAAACTCTAATCACAAGCCTTCAACTTATTTGTTAATTTTGCAAATTATATTTTATTGGATCGCGCCTATCGCGTTTCCGCATGGTGAGGATGGTGGAGGAGATGATGCAGGACTTTTTGACGAAATTGGCTTATCAACCGCAATGAAATCAACATTTGTTATCTCCCATTCGCTGACTCGTTTTTGTCGCCAAGTGTTATGTGCAATTTTTATAACAATAGTGATTCATATTTAAATTATGTCTTCAAATTATAGGCTTGATAAGATTTTAATCAACTGATATCTGGCTTCGTTATGTGCATCACATCCCGAGTTTTTTAACGTGGCTGTTATATGACCTATTTTTAGAATGGAACAAAAACGTCATTCTCGTAAAACAGAAATCCACTTGTAAGAGAATTTACAAAATACAGTAATGTATAATAATTAAGCTATCATGCCTCAAAGAGAAATTAAGATCCGCTGAAGAAATATCACTCTGCTAACTGATTAAAAAAGTATTTCAAAATTTACATTTGAAAATAAATTATATTACAAAATATTTAGAAATAGGTATGAATATTGAAGTTAGAATGTTCTACAAAAAGCCAAGCTTTAGGGAATATACAGCAGTAAGAGCTAAGTCAATCAGAATATTAATTGAATTCTGTTCTAACAACACATATTTAAATTAAATTTTTTTTTAGTTTAAGAATGTAGATTCAGTTGTTGCTATCACTTAACTCTAGTTTTTTAAATGATTTCTTGGCAAGCTGTAAAAGTTTTTTTTGCCTTATAAACTTAAAGCATTCAATTGTCGCCGTCGTTTACCCTTCCATCAAATCAATACCCATCCAATTGATTAGTTTTTTTCAATAGTCGAACACATCGACGATGATATGCAAAGTGCTGAAGTCGGTTGTAGTCGATGTGCTGGGTATGACACAGGTTCCTTGGTGACTTTATCTCACCTTACCCCACCTGCCAGCGGTGTCTTATCAGGCCAGAGCAAACAAATTGAACTCATTTTTCTTTTTAAACAACAGCTTCGACGCAATTGTCGACACGGGTCTACATAATAAGACCCAACTCGTCTTGGCTTGGCCTGGTCGGGCTTAATCAGTTCAGTTCGGTCGGAGGAGACCGAACCGAATATGGTAAATGGGAAAACGAAGTCGAGATAATGCTACGCCAAGAACGAGAAGGAGCAGGTTCCATTCCATTTTTATCTAATTAGGCTAAGCAGCCAACGCCACAAACGATGGACAAATATTTATTATTGTACTGTAAAAATAATCAATCACTCGATCGTTACAGCAAATGGTAATGGTATCTGTACGGCTGTATCTATATACGCCGTCCAGATAACGGCATTTGAATAAGAAAAAGGAGTGCAACAAAAAGAAAATGCAGTTCCAACTTGTCCAGAGGCACTTGAACTCATAACTGCTGCGCACCACAAGTGTTATGCTAATAAAACATATCGAGGCGATCGCCTTATCAATAAGGCAACAAAATACACGCATGTATATAGATATAGATATATACATTAAACAAATCGAGAGAGGGGTACGGGTACGATATTTAAAGTGTAAATCGATCGGTTCTTCTTACACTTTGTTTGCTGTATTTATTTCAATTTCAATATTATTTATCGCTTTACGGTTCACCCCAGCGATATTGCGAAAGGTATTGAAGTTACAGAGAAGTAAGGGCGCCCCACTTCAACTTTTGTAGAGTAAACTTTGATGCAGGTTCTGTTTACCTTCAGACTGAAACTCATGGCGCCTTGCTCAAAAAGGTTTAAACAACATCCCCATCTGCTCAGTTGGAATATATTTCGTATACTTGCATTGGCCTCCAACAACCTTGTGACTCTCAATCTGTGCCCAAAATAGTTCCAAAGGGAAACCCATATTCTTGATAATCAAACAAAATTTACCACCACGGGTGGGGGAGAAACCCCTGAAGCAACATAAATTCAAGAATGTTTCATTTACTAAAGGTTGTTAAAGATTATAGATTAGGATTGTGAAATTCTACACAGTTTTGATTAATTGAGTGATTCTTGATTGGGGGTCCAGGTGGACTGGGGTTAGTCTTATCACTTAAATGTGGGATGTCATTTCGTTTACAACTGATTAATTTCATAAGAAAAACTTCAGGAAACACTAAATTGATTTTCTTAAACCTTAAGACTTCTTAACCATTTCACACCATTTTAATGAACAGATTTCTAAAGAGTACTAAAAATTAAAAATCGGAGCGTGGTATTACGTTCCCTGCTATTAGCTTTTAAATAAAAAGTTATTCGTTTTTTAAGTCTTAGGATCCTACTCTCTTAAGTTTACTCAAATTTTAAATTCCCCCAAAGATATATTTAATAATAAATTCGTTATTCGTAAACTTACAATATAATATAGTAACCAAGGTATTTACCTTTATTGTTTACTCGTTTAAAAAATTGTTCAAGCTCCACCAAAAATGTATATTTTTGTGACTCAATCGATTTTAATTGACATTCACATTTTTTTAACTGCACAATGGTAGACACTTTTTAAAAACTATAATCTATAGTTTTTCAACAATTTCTGAAGATTCCGCAAGTGGAAATTGCGTCTCATTCGCAGCGCGACTCGATTCGCAAATGCCGTCGTCAAAACGCAAAAACTGTGGCACAAAAGAGCTCGGCAAAAATCGCGACGCGAAAGCGTTGAAATTGGGGAAGTCAGAGGGGTTTCTTCGGATCGAGGCGTATCGCATGAGATCTCGCGGAGGACAAAAGTTGCAAAAGTCCGAGGAGCGCGCGCACTTGAGCTATAACCACAGAACGCTGAACTCAACTGAGGCGAGCTCGCCAAAAGTATCTTAAAGATGCGCAACAGATCGCCAACTTTAACGGCAGCGAGCTGCAACAAGTTTTTGCCAAATCCATAAAAACAAAAGGCAAATAAACAAACGGCAGTTGCACTCAAACAATTGCAATTTAAAGTATCTCTGTGTCTGTATTTCTGTCAGTATCTGTGTGAGAATGTATCTGATGCAGGCAACTTGCACACACAGATACACCTGCTTGCAACATTGCAATTGTGGGAGAGGAAAAGAGGGAATTGCTCAACCTGTGTTAAATTAAGTTTTTAAATTAATTTTTTCAGGATTTCTTAAGGAAAAGTATAGGAGTCTCCTTAAAGATTCAAAATTCATAGTTTTTCTTTCTCTAAAATCGTATCTCTCTCAAAACTCTCAGAGAAAACTCTCTGTCACTCACACCAAGGCAAAAAGCTGCGATCGCTCTCTTAGGTTCCACAAAAAGCTGCTTCGATGCGCGAAAAAGAGACAACTAATCTCACTGACTGATTTACTACACACTCTTACATTATTCAAATCTAGTAGTTCGCCATCCCTCTCACTCATGCGCCTGCCCCATGTTCTCCCTCGCTTTATTTAAATTTATGATTATCGCTTCGTATATGTGAGCCTGCTTAATCCAATTGGAGGTGGAGCCGTGCTACTCCATCCAATTGGGAGATACGCTCGCATAGACTCTCATTTTGCCTGCATATCGCGTCGTTAACTGTCAGGTCGACATCAGTGGGGGGATTTATTTTTATTTCGGACCACAGCTCTATCCAATTGGATTTGCCTTTTGAAAACTGGTTTCGGCAGGGCCTCTTATTGGCAAAGCTTTTTTTTTAACAAAATAACAACTGATTGTAGATAATGAGTACAAACTTCTGTTAGGTAGAGTTGATTATTGCTTATCTTTATAAACTTGTGAGTTACTTAGGATGATAATAAAAAAATAAAAGAGTTTTTGGTAAATCTATTTTCTGAAGATAGTAATTTTATTTAATTTGTTTTATCATTATCGATGGTGTCACCATTTATTTAACAGACCTTTAACATGAATCGATATTATTCAGCTTATCAAATAAATATAATCCATTAACATCAATGTAAGTAAAATCCAAGACTAATCATAGGAATTTTAATAAAATAAAAAAAAGTTCAGAAATGTTTTCTACCTTATAAATATTCATTTTATTTTTTTTAACTAATGATTTATTTAGTTTCAAACATTTTCATTGTGACCACAATATTGTGGTAACCTAATGTGGTTACCAATTATCTTTTAATCTTGAATAATATTGTAATTTTTTATGTGTATCTTTTATTTAAGTATAACGAAAATAAAATAAGGTAAACAAAAATGTTACCTAGCAGTACATTCGTCGAATAAAAATTAATTTAATAAAAATTAAAATATTGGCTATGAAGTTTTCTTAATGAGATTTATGTCTATATGCTCTTACAATTTGATCTTTGTCTTTTCCAAACGTATTTGGTTCGTAATTTTTTTATCTTGATAAATTCAATAAAACAAATTACTCAACAACAAGTTAACAAAATATTGCATTGAAAATCGAAGAGCATTCAGCTGAGTCGCCCCGAGGAAGTTCCATTGAAGGGCATTGTCTTTGGCTGGTAGCTGCGGGCGCTTCTTCTTTTGCACCACAAATCGCAACCGCACGATCTGCTGACACAATTCCGCCAGCAATTAAGTTGATTCTTCTTCGCGGGCTGGATTTTACCTGGCGCTCAATTTGCCGGCGTTTAAGAAAGCTGTCAACGGCGATCTGCGACCTGGGTGCATAATGCCGACCAACTGCAGCTGAACTTGGCCGATTGTTTACCATATGCAGTCCGGCCAGGCATACCAAACTGTCCGCTCGGGCTTATTAGCCTGTCGTTTGCATTTCTGCGGTATTTCCACTTTGTTGAAGGCGCCGGACTCCCCAGTGAACGCGGCTGAATTTGAATGCAAATTCCTGACATTGCGCGCTTTTGGTCATTCAAATGTTGCCGCTCCACTGTGGCCGGGAAGTTATGGATTTAATCCGGATACCCTACCGAAAAGAAACATTCTTTTATGTGCCCGCTTGACTTTTTGAAAAATAAAAATAATTGTATAACTAAATATTTTAAAATAAAAATATTTTCGATAAAAAGTAATTTAATTTTAAATAAATAATTAAAAATAATGACTTCTAAAACCCCTGATATTTTTCGATCAGCCACTAAGCCATAATTATAATTATTTTTATTCCAAATATGCCACCTTTGTAAATATATATATATTTTTTCTATATTATTTATTTTCTATACAATTTTTTTATTCTATAACGGCTTATGTTTTTAATCTCTTACAATAATATGAATAACTGTGAAAAAGTTTTATAGAATCGCAAAAAACTATAAAAACAATGTTTTAAAACTTAAACAATTTTAATTCTGAGCTACATTAATTGCTTGCCTAACATATTTTTATTGTCTAGACCCCAATTCAAAATGATGGGCTGTCCTTGGGCGCTGGTTCCTCATGGTTGGTTTGGTTCCTGGAACTCCAATCTATGTTTAAATTACCATTTAAATGTTACTTCAGCGGCGGCATTTCATCACAATGTTGCATTCACATTATTCAGGCAGCATAAAATTGCAAACACATATTATTGACACATCATTATCAATCAAAGTTATGCTCAGTTGAAAGTCCGCAATGCTTCCGCAAAAAGGCGAGGAGCAAGACTGCCGGTGTTCCTACTCTTCGCAGATTACAGCTAAGTTTTATGACCATGATTTATGGCAGAATTCTTCATAGGCGGCCGTTCTGGTTTGATGGTCCAGGTCCCGGCCCAGGCCCAGGCCCATGCACCATGAAGCATCCGAGTCCGAAAAAGACACACTCGCTGACACGCACAGTCTAGATGCGAGCAGCTACTGCCAGTTCGCATCTAGATATCTGGCAGATACGACTCGCACTCTAGCATGCTTTATGGTCTAATCCCGATGGTTAGTTTTGTTCAACATAAACTGCTCGATTTCATGTATTCCATTTAAATGTCATAGAAAGTTGTTGCAAATCAACTTAGCCTGCTTTATTCATCCATATTTATCTGCCATAATTTGGTTGGTTTATGGGATTTCCTCATTTCTGTGTTGTACGCCAAATGCATTTGCCTTGTTTAATCTGATTTTAATTGGTAAAACAGAGGCATAAAATATTCCAAATGATTGTTATGCCAAAGTTAATGGGGTCTTTGCGGATTTTATATGAGTTGATACAGGGGATAAGCTTGAAGAATATTGTCCGAACCTCTACATATCTTATTCTTACACATACAAAATTGTGATGAATGCAGAGTAAGCCCTCAAGATAAGTTCAGAACATTTAGAATTTTTACAAAAAAAAATATAATTGTTTTGTTTTTTTTTTGTACGTACACAATATGTTATTGTTATTATAAAAAAAATAAGCTTTAACCTTGTCGTCTTATAATATATAATCAGTACATCTTGTTTCCCATTTTAACTCTACCAAACACTGGTAAAAGAAACAAATTTAGTTTGGATGTGTTTGTAAATTTCAATTGAATACTTATAAGTTGTTGCTTAAATATTTATTTTGATTCTTCTTATTCTCTGTTCTTTTTGACTAAAAATACATACATATATGTGTAAGACAAATAAAACACAAAAAAAAATTCAAAAAACGTTGAATTTAAACAAACTTCAGTGTTAAAAAAATATATATTCATAAATGGCGGATAGTATTTAAGCTAAGTGATATGTTTTTCAAATGAGCTTTGTAGTGAGACATAAGATGTTCCCAAGCCACATGAATCAATAAGCTCGACTTCTGTCGAGGGCAGATTTTATTACCTTTTCCCTAATGCCATCTCATCCATTTGGAGCTGCCTGCAAGGCAATTTCTTACTTCACACTTGCAAACACGCCATGGCGCGCACATTATTCTCTTTAACGCATTTAAACTGCACTGGTTAACCCCAAACTTTGCATTTAAATTAAAAAAAACCCGAGTGCGAGCCATCAGAAAATAACAATTAAATGTGCTATGAAAAAGGTTGTCTGCGGCCAGCTCGTTGACAAATTGTGCGATTATGCCAGGGCCTTGCAAGAAATATAGAGTTTTATAACATTAATTGTCGCTTTACAACACCCACTGCAGCAAACGCAAAGTGCAGACAACAAAAGGCCATGTAATTAGAGAGCTCCAACGCACCTACACTCTCCTCTGAGACACGGAATTCTTCTGGAGCATTACAAATGAGGCTTTGGCGTGCAGTTCCCTTGATTATTTTAATTTTTTATTAACGCTTTTTCTTTTGTTTAATTATTTTTAAGCAAATCGCGCCTTAGGGCAAAGTCGTCTGTCTGGCTTTTATTTTATAGTTCCTTTTAGTGCGGCCATAATCTCGGATATATAAAACTTAATAGAGCATAAATTAATAAAATATATTCATAAAAATATAAAAATATATTGTAGGGGGACTTTTTGAATAAAAGTTAAATTACACATAACTAAACAATTTTATTAAATGTAGTAATTTTTCTGTATGTTGTTGATGCAGTAGAGCTGTTTAGATAATTTAAAAACAAAATATTTGACATATTTGTATTGAAAAGATTTGATTCTACAAATTAAATAAATTTTGAACAATTTATGCTGTTTAGCTTATTTTTAAATAAGTACCAATTGAACTATTGATAAAAGTCAAATCAAATCATAAACCAAACACGTCTCTCTTAACTGTGAAAAAAATTGAGCATTACAAGTGTTTTTTCTCAACTATAATAAATAAGTTCGTTGTGTCAGGCCGTAGAGGGTCTAGCGATTGCTCAAGATTTCCATCTGTAAAACACTTTTTTGTATTTCCAATTGCTTTTCAGTTCAATAGTTAATTATTTGAAGAAGATTTTCAACAGCTTTACGGCTTTGTTACGTCTGTTGGCGCCAACGGCAATTGGTTGATTCGAAATCTACTTAAACAGTTAGTATACTAAAGTTCGAAGTGTGGATTGGGTTATTATAAATGCACTTCCTAATTGATTTGCAGTTCCTTGAAATAATTGATGAGGTAATGAAGGTGAGGCGCCGCTCGAGATTATAGATACGTCAAGTGGGAAATAAGCCATTAGTTGTTACAATAAGGAAAATCTGATATAAGCAAAAACATTTTTAGTTTATTTTGGGTTTTTGTTAAGTTCTGTAAAGTTCATATGGTTGGTGTGGCCTTAGGGCATTTTAAAAAACCATTAACTTTGAAGTACAATATCTTTTTAATGATTAATACTTGTTTCACATAATTGATGTTTTGAGGATTTGATAAGCCTTAGATAAAGTGAACTTATTTCTTGACTTTTCTAGTCATTGATGGAAAGTCAATTCGAAAAAATATCATTTGGAAAAATGTAAGAAGCTTCGTTTAGTGCTTAGCAAAATAAAATTATTTTGAAACTTAAGTAATTTGCCAAGACCCTATTTATTTATTACATTACTAGTTATCCTCTTTACATGTCTTGTCGGCCAATCTTTACATGACTTATCTATAACCCAAAGGCCTATAAAATCTATAAACTAAAGAGCAACAAATGCAGAGGAAAATGCTACGTTTAAGAGACGCAAAAATGCTGTACAACAAGCGCCAAGTTTGCCACACAAATCAAAGCCGATTTGCCGTTTGCCGTTTGTGTACCACTTTGGACATATAAGGAAAAATTAGTGGGATGTTTTCGGATTGTCCAGTGTCCAGAGAGATGATGGAATCGGTGGGCCAGAGGGGTATCGTCGTCCAAGGTGTCGTCGTCATTAGCAGTTGTAGCTGCGATGGAAAAAGAGCGAGGGATATATTCGAAATGGTGTTTGATTTTTTGATTATGAAATTTGATGCACTCACACTCGATGCGGCATTGCTGTGTGGTGTCCCCACGGATTCGAGTGGCAACATATCCTCACGCCAATAAACGCGCAATTATAATAAAAATAATCACAGGGGGCGACTGCAAATCCTCTGCATTTGGTCATAACCGGCCGGGCCAAAACCGCTGACGCTGGCAGACGCGTTTGATCATTGCGATCCTCGGCGTCCATCGTTCCCGACTGGATTATCGCCTTTTCGAACAGCTTTTTCTCCTTTTGTTCCCGTTCCCGTTCCCATTCTCGATGCCAGTCCGCTAGCCATTCGCTCTCTATCTCATTGCGACGACAATTGGCGAGTAATTGCTGCTGCATAATAATTCCCCACCAGCCATCGTTGGCCTGGTCAAGTTTTTGCGCCTCTTTGCCGACCTTTTTGTCGTCCCCGCCATCCACTTAATCCGTTTTTGGTTGAGTGAGTTTCCTGAATTTATATAGAAAATATTATATACATATTTCTCAGATACACAATTCATTTTTTTTTTCTTAATCTAATAAAGAGAATTAATTAAAATGGCATGAAATAAATTAACGATGCAATTAGACACAAATTCCATTACAAGGTGAGAGAGCTCTGAAAAACGCCTTTTAAGGCATGACCAACTAAAAAGTGGCAAAATAATTCATCAAAAATTGTTGCAAAAAATTAGCATTGCCAATAAGGTCGGATTGACATTTAGGAGCTGAGAAGGCTGCGCTTTTATAAATAATTATTTTTGGGCGGAGCAAGTTTGTTATTCATATTCCAATTTATGATTTATAGTGAGAACGTCATTATTATTTTTTATAGTGTGGGAGTCAAGATATTTAGTACAACATGACATTAAAGCTAAAAATAAAGTGAAATACTTATTAGAATGTTATAGGATTTCAAATTTATGGGCAAAGAAAAACAGCAAGATCAAAAAAGAAAAAACTCTTCATTGCTCTCACTCTGTGAAAGTAATTAAGTTTTAAATTGATTTGTTGATTTGTTAAACAGTTACACCTTATGTTTATTTGTTAATTAATTTTTTTATTTGTTTCGATTTAAATAAAATCCTAATTCACAGTATTTACTGTATAAATGAAGCTCCCTATCGCAGATTAGTATCGTAGTACAAGGATCCAAAGATAAGTACCTGCCTCTTTCTTATAATCCATTGCATCTTTACCTAATCAATCACTAAATGTCTATTAGTATTTATCTTCGGCTATCGATCCATCATTAGCAGTTAAAAAAAAAAACAAAATTTCCACGGTCATCAAATCAATATTCAAAAAGGCTCCACTACCAAATTGGCAACAATCTGTCAGATGCATTTCATAAAGCTCGAACGGCGGGCACTAAAAACCCCAGTCCGTGCTGTAAGGAGTGGAAAAAAGTCGAAAATTGCTTTATGAACACGTTTCAATTGCGTTTTGCTAGATCGGCAGGCATGTTCGATGTCATGTACTCCATGGCTGCAGTCGAGGGAGAGACACTTCTCCGGGCCTGATGAAATCGATCATTTTCCCACGATCGACTGGTTCGGCTAAGATCAGCACAGCCGTGCTGTCAGCGGCTGTGGCCCAAGTCTCAATGACTAACTCTAACTGCACAACAAGTGGCCAGTTGGCCGGGAAAAAAAAACCTGACCAATAGCAGGCATTACTTGATTTGTATGTGCTGCTATGTAAATGCTATAAAAGGATTTTGATTACGGCCAAATGCCGGCCCCGCCAGCGGGACGACATGGGCACAAGGTGTCTGAATTCTATTGGGATGTGATGTGGTACAGAGAGGCTCTTTCTCCCGAAGGCGGAAGCATGACTGGATGATTTTTTCTGGTCGTCAGCGTTCATTGATCAATATCAGGAAGCTGTGAAATTTATAATTCAAACAGCCCTCCCCTATTACCCTTGCTGCTTATGGTTTTTTTATATTTATGGTTTAACCATAGAAAATGTAGACAGATAATTGTGGTAGTCAAATAGACATTATCAAACATTGGCTGAAAATCAGTACCTACAAAATAATTATTTTAACAAAATAAATATAATTAAATATGTATTCGTTCTATTTTAAAGCGTAAACATTTCTTTATTTTGCTTTATTTAGAAATCTTTTTAATTGTTTGCCAGTTTTTAACTTTTATTTATTCTTTGAATTTTATTCACATATAATTCATAGTTAAAACTCTATATGATTGATAGAAAATAAATTTTTAATTTATTTGCAATGGTCCATAAAGTAGAACTATTTTAAAATTAATTATAAAAATAATTGACGGAATCAAATTTTCAATTGGTTTAACTATTATAAAATAAACTTAAGTGTAACTTAAATTTCATTAACAAACAGAAGACATTTATTAGCTTTGAAAAATTAGTCGGAATTGGTTCAGTTTTCTATTCCATGGTCGCAATGTTGGAAAATATCCACCCGTTTTATATGATACCTAAAAAATAAAAATAGTTACTTTATGACCCTTTCCTGCTGTGCATCATGAACACACAGTTTTCTTAAAGGGCTTTATTCTAATTAGCAAGGTGGACGCCCTTCCCGCTTTCAACACCTTTCACACTCCTCTACCGGTCTTACGCACTTGCCATGACTGGTAAAAAAATATTTGAGCCGCTTAATTGGGGCGGACAGTCACCTCGATCCGCTCAGTTCTTTGACATGTTTTCTATTTGTCTAATTTGTCAAGTTTTGCCTGGAATGTTTTCTGTTCGTAAAACGGAAATGATCTGACAAAAATTTTGTGGTTTACAGATTTTTAAATTTCGAACTAATTTGAAAGCGTGGCCAGGTTTTCGAGTTGGAAAAAAAAATATTTTAATAGATCCCATTGGGCTCGTGTTCAAACAATGCTTGTTTTGCGACCTGATTGAGCCAAGCATGCTTTGGTGTTTGTTTATTTGGTCATGGATTCGTGGCAGAGCATACATAGGGAAGTTTATCTTTGGCTTTTCAGCTTACAAATAGAAGCGTGTGGGTAACCTAAGGAGCTTAATGTTGAGGTCTCTTGACTTTCCAACTCTGTGTTCTCTTTATTATCAAAAAATTAGCAATGAGTGTGTACTCTGTATGTTATGAAACCGTTGGACACTCGAAAAAACACAACTGTATTATAACTTTTTGCCCATATCTCCATATGTTTATTTAAAACTTGTTTACCAAAAAACTGTATTCGAAATATCAAAAAAATATTTAAACAGTGGTCCTTTTTGGCTTCACAGAAACCCAGGTCAAAGATTTAATGATTTATCTTTATCCATTTGATAAAAGCTGTTGAAAATAACATTTTTTATTTAGAACTTATATTTTCTTTATATCTTACCATTTCTATGTTTTCCAGATTTTTCGAATTGTATTTCCTCAGTTGTATAGGCACTTGTTTCCACAATATTAATATTTTAAGGGAGCGCCTATAAAAGCCAGCTTTTAATTCAAATTGTTTATATATTTTCTTTTTCATTTATACTTACCGTAGAAACTTTTGAAAAAAAAACAAATGCAAGACTTGAAGGAGTTTTTTTTTATTCTATATAGAGGTCCTTACTTTGTCAAAGTCTGAAGCACACTGATGGAGTAAAAAATTTTTCAACCACCCTCACGATAAAAAATGAACATCCGTTCAACCCTTTTCGTGTTTCTCTCATTTCCAGTCAAGAAATTTTGCATAGCGCGATGGTCTTTCCTTTTTTAGAACTCTTCCAACCCCCTTGGATGTGGAGGTGAAATACGATCCGAACGCCAGGTGGCGCTGTTGGACCATTTATGTAGTACTTCCAATACGATTCATTAAAAACAGAAAAACTTGTGAATAATTTATATAATTAATACCCCGCTACGTTGACTACGCACAGCTGGCATTTAGTCGCAAGTTAAGGAGAGATCTCTCAGCTGCTGTTGTTTAATAAAATATTTTAAATAATTCCGTAATCTAAATGCAGTCATCGTCAAAGCAGCAAAACAAGCCTAAGAACGTTGGCGACGTTTTCCACATCAGAGTCAACAGGATGCTGAGAAGCTGGCACTGAGAAAGAAATTCTAAATACCAACGAGTCACAGCAGCATCCAGCACAAATCACAAATTGTCACGTTAATAGTGGCAGCCATCCCCGATCCCACCTCCATCCTTCCTCCGCCTCATTTGAGCTTGTCTTGCATTTCGCATCCGTATAAATGCAATGTAAATTTTTTTGTGTTGTGCGCGGCATTGCATATGTCAAGACAACAACAAAACGCTGTCGCAGAAGATGGCCAAAGAGACCAAGATGGGGTTGTCCAAGAGGATGGTCTCGTGAGGGCTAAACCCAATTTAAGTATTTCATCAAACAAAAAAGAGTTTAAAAAATGTTTTGTCAATACCAAAAATTAAAACACATTAAACAAACACGTTCAAAAGGAGTAACAATTAAGCCAGCGCTAACAGAATGGTTTGATCCTCCACAAATTTTTGTAAAATATTAATACTAATGCAGTACTCAATATTCCCAATATTCAATATTCCAACTTGTTACGGAAAACTCGCTATATGTCTCACACAAGAACACAAAAATTAAAATTAAGTTTAAAACAAAGAAGTTAAAGCAATCAATTAAGAAGATAATGCCATTATTATAAGTAAATGCAACAATTTGTTATAAATAGTTTACACTTAAAATAAGAAAGACCAATAAAATGGTCTTTCTTCGTGCCTTAACCAATTCCCAACACGGTGCCATCTCCAGAGCAAAGACCCGATGGAGTGGCATTGCAGCCACTCTTCTTCGTCTCTCAGCACGTTTCGCCTTGATAATTTATGAGACGCCTTATTAACATCAGTCAGCATCGGCAGAAGCGCAGATTCAGTCTTCGGGCCTCGTCTTTAGCTTGGTCCGCGGCATCCAACTGGCTTTCTCGGAAAGGAATCTCCGCTTTTTGCTGCCTCTCGTCGGCTGCCACATTTTCACTCATTTTAATGTAATTTCTGTGGTTTAATTTGTAAATTATTTTAATGCAAGTTTTGTCATAATTTATTGCCAGCTTCTTGCCCGAGGAATCCGTGTATCCGGTGGGTACATATATCCCCCACTGACGGTCTACAGCAGCATGCAAATCGGCTGGCCAAAATCCTCGGCAAGCCTCATTCTATGCAAATCCGATTGTCCCGGCCGATTCAAGTCCACTGAGATGAGGTGGCTCGTTAGGTGGTCAGCCGCTGGGATTTGCATAAGTATGTTGACTTTCAATTAAATGCCAAAGCTCGATCAGTTGTTAAAGGCATTCCGAATGTTAATTCTCAAGTGCATTTGATCGCAATGCCCAGTATGCCAAACGAAATTGAGAATTTCGAAACTAGAAGGTGAAGTGTTGATACCCTAAAGGTATACCAAATTTAAAAAAAAAACTTAAAATTTATTTTGTAACTTGGGAAACATAGAATTATTAATAAACTCTCTATTCTGTTAGATATGGCTTAATAGGCAAACAAAATTTAATATTTTTGACCCATGCAACTAATAACTAAAAACTCTTCTTCTTTGTTATTATAAAAAATTACAAAAATTAATAAAAAATTTTAGTTTTTTTTAATAAGGAAAAATTTGCACAATTTCAAGAGAAAGCCAAAAACCTTAATCTTTTGTACTGTTTTGTTAATACTTATTATCTTTTTTTAAGGCTTCCCCAAGTCAATGTACACTTGAACAGTTGCAAAACAACATTCACATTTATAAGGCACAACAATCAGTTCAATGACAAGCAGAACAAATATGTAAGTTTGCGATTCGAATCGAGTCAATTGAGGGCAGCAAAATGTTTGCATAAATTGAAAAGGAAACCTGGCCGTAATCGTTCTCATACAATTATCAATTGTGCATAAACGCAGCTCCATTGATGGCGGTGCAAAATGCTTAAAAGGATTTTACTCAGGGACAATTAGTTGGATGATTTTTCATAAATTAGCCACTTCGGAAGGATCGTGACGAATCTCTGATAAATTGGCACTCCGCCACCGGCAAGTTCAAGTCCATTTACTTCATGGCAAAATTACAGTATTTAAAAATCTTTAATAAGCGCAAAATCAGGATTGGAATATGCCGCAGCCGACCCACTTAGATGCACTCGACTGGGGCGTGTCGGCGATCTTGAAAAGTGCCGACACCTCAACACATCATCATCAGCGTCATTGAAAGCCCGAACAGTAGCCGTCAGATGCCAACATTCTTTTTGCCAGCGTCTGAGGCAATATTTAAATTAATTGAGGCCTGACTCACTCTGAATTGAAAGGCGAAAATCGAGAGACGGAAAATTTACATTCGTTGGAAATGGAAATCTTATGCATCTTGGCATAAAAAAAATCGAACAAACAATGCAAACTTTTGTAGACTATTTTGTAATTGTAAGCGGCCTCTCTATGCAACATTTCTGAATGTGTGACTAACAATTATTAGTCCGACTATAATCGGAATTAATCTAATGCCAATAGTTTTTAAGCGGAAATAACTCATGCCTTACACAAAAAATTAAATTTATCATATGGCTGCAATGTGCCATAGATTTAAATGTTAATATCGTTTATTTTTAATTATATGGGTTGTATTTTAAACATTAAAACATTTATGCCGCGGTCTTCCTTTTTATTTATTTTTTTCAGTGTATGTAATAGTAAACTAAATCTCGATTTGATCATTTCCAAAACTTAATGTGTGCTCGATTTTCGAAGGAATTCCATTTAACTTAGTTCATGGTAATGGACTCCAATCAGCGGTCAATTAACTGACTAACTAGCCTCGTGGTTTCTAAATAATTATGCAAATTTTCGATTTGCAATTGCAATTATTGTTACGTTAATAAGCAGAAGTCAAAGCCAAAGCAGCAGCAATTGGAAAAAAAAAAAACTTGGCAAATTATTCAATCGAAAAATTGTTTTCCAACAGCTGCAAGATCGAACTCAAATCTGACACACGGCGAAAGAGAGAGAGAAGTTGGCGACAAGGCGACATTGCCGTTGAAGTGTTGTTGGCCTGGGGCCACAAGTTGGCTGGCTGGCTGGCAGCTGTCAGTCAGTTTGACGTTTTTGACCAAATCGTGTAAAAACCGTTGAAATCGACAAACGACACGTCGCCAGCCGCTCAAGTCTCGAACAGATGCAAGCTTTTCAGCTTCAACTTTTTGAGATGGCTGCGTGAGAGGTGTTAACGTTATTGCAGATGAAAAACTATAATTTCTCAAATTGATTTAAGGCACGCTTTTATTCGATTAGTTTAAATTGTGGAGAAGTCTGGTTTTATGTTCACGCGAATTGAAGATAAAATTAAGAATCGGAGTCGAAGATGCCAGATTCCAGATGCATTGAATTTCTTTGGATTAAATATTGTAGATTGTATTTTATATATTTTAGTAAATAAACCACATCTCTGTGGGTGTATTTTGAAAAATTAAGGTTTAGTGCTTTGGCTTTGTTCAAATTTTACTAGGAACTCCAAAAGTATATTTGAAACCCAATCTTTAAATTAAAGCCTAGTTCTTATTGTATATTGAAGCTTTTAAACTTCTTTAGCTTTATATAAATTTTATAAGAAACTCCAAAAGTATATTACAAAACCAATCTTTAAAGTAAAGCCTAGATTTTGTTTTGTAGTATATTTTTTAAGTAAATTGAATCGTATTAATATCGGTTTACGTTTTTTAAATGTTTTTCGTAGAATAAAAAGTAAAGCGAAATATCTGTTTTTAAGTCTTAAGAACTGCAGATGTCCGCAGAAGTATACAACAATTTGTAAAGTCTTAAAGTCTTGTTTATAATATATCCTTTTTTATGTGTTTGAAAGTATTTCATATTTATAGGTTTCCACAAATAGAATGTTAAAAAGGTTAAAAAATTAAGTAAAGTATAAATTGCATTACTATTACAGTCTGCCATCCCTAGTTTGTCCCTACCTTTTCGTCCGCTGATGGCAGGCTGATTTTTACGCTTTTTGTCACCAGATTTCTCAGCCAGTCAGCCTCTGGCGATGGCTCACCCGTCTTTCCCCTCGGACCGATTAATTGTTGGCAATGCGCAAGCGCGCGCCTCTCCTCAAAAGTTTGTTTTGTCAGTTTGGAAAATGTAAATTATGCTTTGTGGCATTTATTTTTTCTTCTCGACTTTGTTGTTGCTCTTGCTGCCCCTCAAGTTGCTTTTAATGAGGTAAAACTATTTGCATTTTGATTGACAGCACTGGAGATTGTCGAAATTGGACATGCGCACGGATGCATATTTGGCAAATGTGATAATGATGCAGGCAAAAACAAGAAGAATTCCTTCCACAAAACAAAAGGTAAAATAAATTGTTAGCTTTACAAATTTTATTTTAAATTGAAAGGTGTGGTATTTTTAATGTACTAAAAGTCTGAGTGCTGGCAATGCTATTTCCAAATAAGGGGTTACAAAATTCACTGGAATCGAAGGGGTTAAAGTATTTTTTGCACAAGGTCACACTTAAGTTGTTCTAAAAAAAAATCTTGACATTCAGCATGCAGGGGTTAGGAGAAGTAAATGGTGTTTTCCAAAAAGAAAGAACTCGTTTTTTATCAAAGGGTTGGTT